TGTGTGTGTGTGTGTGTGTGTGTGTGTGTGTGTGTGTGTGTCTGTGTGTGTGTGTGTGTGTGTGCACTGTAGGCTAGAGGACAAGCATGGGGGTTGGCTCTTTGCTTCCATTGACCACTTGGGTTCCAGGGATCTACCTCAGGTCATCAGGCTTGATGGCAGCAAGGACGTTTACTGCTGAGCTATAGTCATAGTCCCATAATGCCCCTAACGAAGCGCACTTGGGGTTGGGAGGACCAAAGGGAATCCTTGTCAGTCTGCTAACTTCATGGCGCCCCACACATAACATGTTTAACACGTTTGTTTTTTAAAGAATTTCCCCCCCCCCACCAGGTACATTAACAATTATAAAAATGTTGAAAGGCAGCAGAAAAACATACTGAAAAACTCCGTCTGAGACATGATCCCGCATTCCAATAATGACCAGGATTTTTAAATGAACCTCGACGTCCCTCTGGCTTGGGGTCCAAGGCCGTCTGCACAAGAATGACTGAAGCGGTCAAGGGATGGAGAGACATTTCCTCACATAGAAACATGTGTGCGGTGTTCCAGAACTTGCTGCCGAGTCCCAGTGGGCTGGGGTCAGTCAGCTCAGAGGGTGTGGGACCACGACAGGACTAAGGTGAACGCTTAGCCGGAGAGTAATGTTTGGATAGACTTTCTATGAGCCACCTTTGCCTCCCTTGCAGATGAGTTCTGGGAATGGATGTCCTGACTGGAAGGTGCCCCCGCCTTGAATGCATGTCTTCCAGTACCGATAAATCAGGTAACACAGCAGCAAACCCAACAAAGCCCGTCCAGTTGGTAAGCTGGGAGAGTACGGAACACTTGATGAGAAGGGAGTAGCCCTTTAATTACTGCTGTGTTCGGGTGTTCTGGGGTAGACAGTCTCTGTTTAGCGTCTCTGTGTAGAGGGCCGACTTCAGCTATGGCCAAAGCTCCTTCCACAATAGCCACTGGGATTTTGGAACAGTAACTCTACATTTTCAAGACAAAGATGGAAAAAACCTTGGACATATGTAGAGAGAAGAGATGGTTCACAGAAAAAAGGACACATGAGGATCACCAACTATTCTACTAAGGACTCAGAGTTAGGGACAATAATTGTATCATCATCATCATCATCATCATCATCATCACTATTATTATTTGGGGGAGGGGTCAGGCATGGTGGTGCATGCCTTTAATCCTAGCACTTGAAAGGCAGAGGCAGGTGGAAATTCTGTGAGTTCAGGCCAGCCTGTTCTACATATTGAGTCCAGAATGACCAGAGCTGCCTGTCTTAAATAATAATAATAGTAATAATAATAACTTTAAAAATAAAAGTTAATGTATTTGGGTGATTTGCCTAGATATCTGTCTGTCCACCACATGTATCCCTGGTGCCTGTTTGAGGCCAAATGAAGATGTCAGGTCCCCTGGAACTGGAGTTACAGATGGTTGTGACCCACCATGTGGGTGCTAGGAACTGATCCCTGGTCCTCTAGTAGCGCAGCAAATACTCTTAACCACTGAGCCATCTCTCCATATTTGAAAGGATAAAGCCAAATGGTACTGAGATTATTCCTGCCTTTTCCCGGGTGGCAGGGAGTTATTATAGGGTCTTCTGTATCTCAGCCTACCCTCTCCATTCTCCTGCTTGCGCCTGCTTCAAGTGTTGGGATTTTAGTGTGCACACCACGCCTGGTTTGTGTGGTGTTCTCAGCTCAAACCCAAGGCTGCGTGCATGCTACCAACCGAGCAGCATCCCCAGCCGCTACTGCTTTTGGAACCTGACAACGCCAAACACGAGTCCTCAAATTTGAGCGGCACTGCTCTGTAAGACATCTGGCCACAGGCGATGATTGGTCCAGATGGACAGGATTTGTTGTTAGTGACTGAGAAGGATGCCAGTGACATGAAAGCGTCTTTTGACAAAGCTTTTGAAACCAAACCACAAAACAACAGCTTCTCCTTTGCCAAAAGCGCTCTAAGCCTCTTTTCAGGAGGCAGCCCCAGAGTCGCGACCTCGGGAAGCGAGTGGGACCACAAGGCACTGTAATGAGCAGAAACAGGAGCAGGGTCTCGTGGGCCTGGGGCGGCAATGAGACCCGCCGGCAGCTGCGTGACGGACCAGGGCTATGCACACGCTTCACCTAGTCCAGCAACCTGGGAACAGGTAATTCCACCCAGGCTCTTGATGATCGGTAGTCCAGTCCCCTGTTTCTGTGGGGCCACTTCAATTTCTTCATTACTGGTCCGTCAGCTGACAGGGAGATGGATTTAAGTGTGGCCTCTGTTTCCTCGTCAGTCAACATACGTTGAAGATCCTTCTTCCTGCAAAATCCAGTGCTACACACCGTTACCTCAGGCGTAGAACTCTTTTCTTTTCTTTTCCTGCAGAATCATCAAATGGCAGAAGGCTACAGCTTTAAGCCACCAAGTATCAGGGTCTTACATTTCCTAGCCACAAATGGGCAAATCCCCTGACGTTTCCAGTTCTTGGTGCTTCTGGGAGCCTTCCGGGTGTGATGTCTCTCCCCGGCCTCTGCCAGCACTTGAGTGTGAGTGCCCTGCAAGGCCAGTCACCCCTCACCCACCGCCGCGTCGTGCTGGTTGGGCATCCAGGGTGGCTCACTCGAGTGGCAGGTGACCAACAGCTGCGTTTTCTGGTTGCTCAGCGGTGAGGACCCCTGTACTTCCCTGTGCGATTGTGTCTCCGCGTGGCTCGAGCTCCCCAGAGATCGGTAAATAGGAACGTGTAGATGTAACCAACCGTCTTATTAAATAAGAAACACAGAAACAATGTAAAAGAGAAAGCCGAGAGGTCAGAGCTCAGAGCTAAAATCTCACCCT